TCCTCTGCAAGTTTGTCAACAACTCATGGGGAGCTAGCACAGCAACCTTGTGGACATGTACCAACGCCCTAATTATTGCACCTACTGAACACTGTGCAGCAGCTTGGGACTCTAATAATCATTGTGGCAAGCTGGATTCAGTGATCAACTGAGCCCTTCATATCATGACCGAGGTGACCAGGGCAACTTCAGTTTCCAACCTTCAGGTCATGGCTGGCATTGTTCTCCCGATAATTAGATATGAAGGGAGGGCCCTGGCCACCTTACTGTGTGCAGCCAACTATCAAGACTGCCTGCTTCACAATTTCATCTCAGAGCCACATCAAAAAAGCCTGTTAAAGTTTTCTTTTCTAAAATAGCCATGCCTCTTAGTAAATCAGACAATACCTTTTTAAAGAAAAGCACCACAGGTTGCACAGGACTATTGTCATAAATATAAAGGGAAGGGTAACCACCTTTCTGTATACAGAACTATAAAATCCCTCCTGGCCAGAGGCAAAACCCTTTCACCTGTAAAGGGTTAAGAAGCTAGGATAACCTCGCTGGCACCTGACCAAAATGACCAATGAGGAGACAAGTTACTTTCAAAGCTGGAGGGTGGGAACAAAAGGTCTGTCTGTCTGTGTGATGCTTTTGCCAGGAACAGATCAGGAATGCTCTTCAGAACTCCTGTAAAAAGTTAGTAAGCAATCTAGCTAGAAATGCGTTAGATTTTCTTTTGTTTAATGGCTGGTAAAATAGCTGTGCTGAATGAAATGTATATTCCTGTTTTTGTGTCTTTTTGTAACTTAAGGTTTTGCCTAGAGGGATTTTCTATGTTTTGACTCTGATTACCCTGTAAGATAGTTACCATCCTGATTTTACAGAGGTGATTCTTTTACTTTTTCTTTAATTAAAATTCTTCTTTTAAGATCCTGATTGCTTTTTCATTGTTCTTAAGATCCAAGGGTTTGGGTCTGTGTTCACCTATGCAAATTGGTGAGGATTTTTATCAAGCCTTCCCCATTAAAGGGGGTGTAGGGCTTGGGGGGATATTTTGCGGGGAAGACGTCTCCAAGTGGGCTCTTTCCCTGTTCTTTGTTTAACCACGCTTGGTGGTGGCAGCATAGGGTTCAAGGACAAGGCAAAGTTTGTACCTTGAGGAAGTTTTTAACCTAAGCACCTGGTAATAATAAGCTTAGGGTGTCTTTCATGCAGGTCCCCACATCTGTACCCTAGAGTTCAGAGTGGGAAAGGAACCTGGACAACTATATTTTGGATCGATGGTGCATTTTTTGGCAGATATTCAATTCAGATCTGCACTCCCTAGTCTATCCGGATCAGCTGTCGCATGCCCCTCAGCAGGGCACACGAGTTATATGAGCCTGTAGTGCCTGGGCTCCAGCAATGTTCAGGGCCTGGGGGCCCAGCTCCACCAATGTTTGGGGCCGGGTCTCTCCCCTGGCCCCCCTGCTGCCCCCACACGCCTCCCCCAAGTGTCCCCCAGCCTCTGCTTGCTGCCCCTGCACACTTCTCCTGAGGCCCCAGAGCATCTCTACCACTCCCCTGCAGCTCCATATGCTGCCTCCCCTCTGCTGGCTCCCAGCATCAACTGCCACCGCAGGGTGCAGGCTCCTAACGCCCCCCAACTACTAGTGCTTGTCCTTCTCTGGCCTGCCTGAACTCCAAACTCCTCATCCCCAGCCCAGCCCCACCCCAGAGCCTACACCCACAGCCAGAGCCCTCACCCCTCTCACCCCAACCCTCTGCCCTAGCCCTGCGCCCCTCCCACACTCCAAACCCCTCATCCGCAGCCCCAGCCAGAGCCCTCATCCCCTCACCATCTGCTCCAACCCTGAGCCCTCTCCTGCATCGTGAACTCCTCATCCCTGGCCCCACACCACAGTCCTCACCCCAACCCCCTGCCTGAGCCCCTCCCACACCCCCAACCCCTCATCACCAGCCCCACCCCAGAGCCCTCACATTTTTACATTATTTTAAAATATATATTTTGGCTTACAAGGCAGATGTGTGTGTGTTGGGGTGGGGGGGCAGAGACTTGGACCTGTTCTGGGCACCACCAAAAATTATACAAACCTGCTGCCCCTTTCCCTCAGAACAACAATCTGAACCAAAAGATCCTTCTTTGTTACAACAGGATAGGTTGTGGTCACGAACATCTTAATTTACGTCTTTACCCCTAGGGCTTCTTGAGCTCCCTGCCTTGACCCAGTGGAGCTCAGGAACAAACAGTGTGTCATCTGGTTATGGACTGCCCTCCTCCTCTTTATCATCTTGATGGTGGATGGATGTGCTTGATGTCTCCAGATGATGCTACCATGTTAAAGTGGTGACATTGCTTACCCAATATTTGTTTGCGCCATCAGAAGCCATATGACAGAAGACTTTATGTATAGTGTCTTACCTACAAACTGTAGCCCTGATCCTGAAAACGTTTATACACATGCTTAACTTTAAGCACAGGAGTATTCCCATTGAAACTTAAAATTGTGCTTAAGAGTCTGCAGGACTAGTGCCTTAGTTTGTTGGCAAGACAATAAATATACATACTACACAATGAAGTTATGCTACCATATTGTCTAGTGTAAGTGTTTGTAGGATAAGTGCTCAAATTTCAAAATGCTTTACAGTCTTAGGGCCTGATCCTGCAATTCTAACTTGGGCAAAACTCCCACTGACTTTAGGTCCTTAAAAATATCCCTGTTACAGAAGTTAGGGTGTGAGGAATTTACAGATAAGAGATCTTGTATTCTAGCTGAGATTGTTATGAGACAGAATGGCAATGAAGTGATTAGGAATTCTATTTTAAGGGGTATAAGCTCCAGAGGAGATGTCTCTTGCACCAACAATGGCCAGATTCAAAAGAGGCTAGAGACAAGTTATGCTCCCTCCTGTAGGATGAAAAAAGTTCATGAAGCATTTAGCAAACAAAGAGCAATGGCCAATTAACAACATAAAAATAAACAATTAACACATTAACAAAGGCTAAAGAAACACTTATCAAGAATTAAGTTGATATATAAAAAGGAGGAAATGTTTGCTAACCATTAGCAACTGATTGATTAAAAGCAAATTTTAGAATAGGTATGCAAATAAAGTAATGTAAATGAACGTATTCCAAATATTAGTTTTAAATAGAAATTTTTAACATAGAAAATAACTTAATGGTAACTAATTTGGAACCTTAGTAACTCAGGCTGTCATGGGAAATAAAATAAAGAAGTAAGAGTCACGAATTTATAGAAAAAATGCAGAAGTCATGGGTAAATGTATTTAGAGCAAAATATCCAGGTCACTGTCCCATATTGCACTGTACTGGACATACATACAGGCATTCTTGGATTCTTTTTTAATTCATGGCAAAACCTTCCTTATTAATGAGTTTAAAGATAATGGGTGAAATCCTGGCCCCACTGGAGTCAATGGCAAAATTTCCATTGATTTCAGTGGGGCCAGGATTTCCCTCCAAGACTTCTATAGTGTTGGGTGTGGAAGGGAAAGACAAGTTATACAAACACTCCCTGGGTTATGCAAGACCCGACTTACACAAATTCGCACTTACGGAAAAAGTTCCATAAGCCAGAAATAGGATTTTTGAGTTGTGGAAATTTTTGCGTAATGTACAGCTATACGTTTCTGACTTACACAAAATTCATGTTACGCAAGGCTTTCCAGAACAGAACGATTGGGTAAGTTGGGTGGCTTCTGTATGGTTAATGTCATGAAAGTTATTATTATGGTTATGCTTAACAACCTAACCCTCAGTTGTGGATTACATCTCAAGTGGTCTCCTCCAATCTGTCCTAATCTGCATTTAGTTTAGACACTCTTTCTCAGACCAAAAGAAGAGCTCTGTAAAGCTTGAAAGCTTGTACCTTCCACCACCAAAAAAACCCCCATCATGTCACATATCTTGTCTCTCTCATGAAAACCATGACACAGACAAACACATAGTGTTACCCATAACTTTAAAGGATGTTCTCTGGAGGGAAATGCAGTAGCTTTGAATCACAGAGGTATGTGTTCTACCATATTAATAAAAGAACAAAGGGAACAATGCTGATACTCCCTCTCTCCATGGGTTTTGATGGGCAATTGTTGGGCCACTCCACATTATTCAGTTTTTTAAAATATTCTGCCCATATGGGTCCTGATTCTGCCACTGTTACATTCTAAATGGGCCATCTTGATTATCACTACAAAAGTTTTTTAATTAATTAGCTTCCTACAGTTTGTATGGCAACTTCCACCTTCTCTGTATGTATATATATATCTTCTTACCATATGTTCCATTCTTTGCATCCGATGAAGTGGGGTGTAGCCCACGAAAGCTTATGCTCTAATAAATTTGTTAGTCTCTAAGGTGTCACAAGTACTCCTGTTCTATTCACTGAGTAGTTTCTATTGATTCCATTAGGTGCCTAACTACCTTTGTAGATTCACCCACCTGGCTGATTGTTTTACAGGGTTTTAAATTGTATTACTTTTCACACTGTCTCTCTGACACCCTGAGGTGGGATTCTTTTCTCAGCAAAATGTTTCTATGTCTAACATCCTTGCTAATCTCAAATTGGGTATATTCCGTGCTGGAATCGGCCTTTTTTTGCAAAACACACTAGCTTTAACAACCCTGCTCCTTGCTGTTCTTTTGAAACCCGGCAAAATGAAATTAAAAGCAAGTGACAATAGCTGCACGTATTCTTTTCTGATCTTCTCTTGCCCTGACTGGGCGGGAGAGGAAAAATGATTTACCCATAGTGTCAGTCAAGGGTGGCATTTTCCTGCCTATAACTGACAGCTCCATAGATTGGGGGAAAGTTCTGTTTATTACATAAAGTGACTAAATTTTGCCAAGCAGGGGCTGCTCTTCTGTGGGCATTTTTAATAAACTCTTCAGATCAGGGCTAGCGCTGAAATTTTACTTCTTTTGCTCACTATTGCGGCACCCCCTCTCCCTTTTAGCCAGGGGGCCGAGGGCCAGCCCCCGGAGAGATGCGTTCTGCAGAGGCTGCGCCGCAGCCCCGGGCAGCAGAGCACGCTGCAGGAGCACCATTAAGCTGAGGAGAAGGGTGATCGCACTTTGCAGCGCTGTTCCCGCCAGCCCAGTGCAATCCTTGGCCTCACGTGCCAGGCCCGCGGAGCAGGGCGGGGAGCAACCCCACGTGCCAGGTCTGCAGCGCCCTGCAGTGCGGCGGGGCACGGGATGCTGCCGCTGCCGCAGAGCGGGCTTGGCTGGGGGTGCCCGGAGACCATGGCTCTGAGGAAGGCAGCGCGACCGCGCTCTGCATCCGGAAAGCTGGAAACATTCCCCCGCGGCAGGTGAGCCCCCTTTCCCCCTCCAGCCTGCGGGCCCGGGCCGAGCCCCGGCGGCAGCAGCGTTGTGGGCTCGCTGTTGTCAAGCAACCAGGGCTGCGGCTTGCGCCGGCCAGGAGCCGCAGGTGCTCCCCGCGCCCAGCCCCCCGCCCCGCCTCGCCTCCTCTAGCCGCGGAGCCAGATGCCTGGGGGGCGTCGCCGCGCGCCTTCCCCTCCGGGCTGTGCGCGGGCTCGGGGCGTCGCTCGCCGCTGGGTCCCGCTCTGCTGTGCGCAGCCTGGGGAGTCGCTAGCCTGCTCCCGCCCCGGAGCGCTTGCTGCTGCCATGGGGAAGGTTTTGTTGTGGGCGCTTAGAGAAAGCGGTGCCAAGTCCCCCGCTGCTCGGGACAGCGCGAGGGAGGAGATGGAAGGAAGGAGCATTGCAATAGACACTGGGGGGAAGCCTGAGGGTCTTTTTTTTTAAACCCTTTCCTGTTAATGCCCTTGGTTATTGCCAGTAGTTATTCCCCTTCCTTTCTTCTTCCTCTTCTTCCTCTTCTGCTGCTGCCATTGTATTTGTCCCAGAGCCCAGCCTGATGCACAGGGCACAAGGTTGTGTCCTGGTCCCATGTCTGTCCTGGTTCCTGCTCACCACTGCTGTAGTGTATTGTGGAGGGGGGACAAGCCGCTGCTTCCGGGAGCTCCACAGAGCCATGTCACCCATGGAGCGGGGCAAGCCCCCGACCCAACTCCCCGGTGGGAGCTCCAGGGCCGGATTAAAAGGTCGGTTGGCTGGACGCGGCCCGCGGGCCGTAGTTTGCCCACCCCTGCACTAGGAGAACATTGTAGGGACTGTCTTTCCCAGGCCAAGTGTAGGAGGACTGGGCTGAGTGGAACTTACCCAAAACTTGGAAGGAAAGAACAAAGTTTAGGTGAGACCCAGGCATGGAGGCTTTTTGCTCTGCATGCTGTGTACTTTTGGTTGAATACGTAATAGTTTCTTTTGACAGGTTTCAGAGTAACAGCCGTGTTAGTCTGTATTCGCAAAAAGAAAAGGAGTACTTGTGGCACCTTAGAGACTAACCAATTTATTTGAGCATGAGCTTTCGTGAGCTACAGCTCACTTCATCGGATGCTTCTTCTTTTGAAGAAGTCTTGAAGCTACATTAATCAGCCACTGGTCACAGGCTTTTGGAGGAAAAGGGCTAATGTGCCAAAGTTGGGGCTGTCATGTTATCCAAATTGGTAAACAGGAGGGCTGCAGCATCATCTAAGCATGGTAGGACTATGTGGCCCTTTCCAGAAGGGGTGAAGATAGCAAAACCTATCTGCAGAGAGGTCCACTCAAGAGGGACTAAAAGGGGCTTAAACTGCAGCTCATCCCATAACTTAGACATTTGACAACATCTGCTTTTGTAAGGGGAGGCTTCCAGGTGCTTCTAAAACAGTCCTGGTGAGATCCCTACTTATAAAGAACAGGAATACTTGTGGCACCTTAGAGACTAGCAAATTTATTAGAGCATAAGCTTTCATGGGCTGCGATGAAGTGGGCTGTAGCCCACAAAAGCTTATACTCTAATAAATTTGTTAGTCTCTAAGGTGCCACAAGTTCTCCTTTCTTTTTGAGCAAACAGACTAACATGGCTGCTACTCTGAAACCTACTAATAAAGGTATCTCTTGACATGACAATCTTGACTTCGCAACCTGTATTGAATTTCTTAGCACGTGAGCACTGTTTTTAGTCTTGGAAGAAATGCTTGTGGTGGTATATTTTTTGTTATACAAGTTTGGGGTAGAGGGAACTGTGCGAGTAGCAGGAGAGTCTGCGCTCTGCTCGCTCTGATTAGACTGAGGCAGAGTTGTATGCTGGAAACTGACCTTTGGTGGTGGACTGAGATTTCTGAACAAAGTGATTGCCTGCATCTCTGTTCCAGGACTAGTATATTTGTAACTAGAGCAAGTTACGTTACAGCTATGTCTACACTTAAACCACTGCAGTGGCCCAGCTGCAATGGTGTGGGTGCGCTGTTGTAACGCTTCAGTGTAGACACTCACTACAGTGGTGGGAGGGTGTCATAGGTGCCGACTCCATGGGTGCTCCGGGGCTGGAGCACCTATAGGGAAAAATAAGCGGGTGCTCTGCACCCACCGGCAGCCAAGCTTCCCACTTGTCACCTCCTTCTCCCACCCTCCGAGCGTGCCGCATCCCTGCTCCTGCCCCTCCCTCCCAGCGCTTCCCACCCCACCCCTTGCTGCCTAACAGCTGTTTGGCAGCACTTAGGACTTTCCGGGAGGGAGGGGGAGGAGTGGGGATGTAGCATGCTCAGGGGAGGAGGTGGGGAAGGGGTGGGGACTTGGGGGAAGGGGGTGGAATGGGGGCAGGGACTTTGGGGGAGGAGTGGAATGGGGTGGGGCGAGGGCAGGGAAGAGGTGGGGCCAGGGTGGGGTGGGGTGGGGTGGGGGGGGTCAAGCACCCACTAGCCGGAGGGGAAGTCGATGCCTGTGGAGGATGTGACGGTATCCCTGAGGTGCAACCGGGGACTGTGGGTCTGCTGTGCCCCCTTAACTCAGTAATCTTGGTTGTCTCAATGCCTTACTGGTGACAAGTAGCAAACCCCTCCAGTAGACCCACACGTGGAGCCCCACACCCAAATAGATTGCCTGAATGCTCCCAGAGACATTCATGAATCACACAGAAAAAGGCACCAGCCAAATCATCCCTGCTCCCAGCCTTGTACCTCCGGAATATACCATCTTGCACTGCTCAAGACCCTTTCTTGAGCAATGCAGGTTTATTAATTTGTTCATCACTTCATCAGTGGAAAATGGACATAACACCAGCCTTTGTAACCTGAGCAGATTTATCAAGCACTTCAGTCAAACTCATTGATAAGGATAAACATTAGAATAAGTTTATTGATTACAAAAGATGGATTTTAAGTGATTATAAGTGATAGGCAAAATTCAGAGTAGTTACCAAATGAAAATAAAAGATAAGCACCCAGTCTAAATTCTCAACCTTAATAGACTAGGCAGTATCCGGACTAAGCAGTTTTTCTCATCCCACTGGATACTGCATATTAGTTACAGCCTTCATATGCAGGCAGAGCCATCCTTAGGATTTATGGGGCCCTACACAGTATTATTAAACTGGTGCCCCTGTGCCCCACGGCAGCCCAAGCTTGTAGCCCAGTGTGGGGCGGAGGGGAGGAAGGGATGAGACAGCAAAGGATAACGAGATGCCCGTCCTGCTTCAAGGTGGCGGAGAGTCACAGTTCCCCGCAGAGACCCCTGTACTCTCTCCCTCATGCAGAATGGACATGCAGAAGTTACCTATTTAAAAGCACTAAACTTGGGAATAAAAAATGTCAGTCACAGGTTTTTTGATATGCTCTGAAGTTTGTCAGACATTTATTTTCAAAAACTTTGTAGTAAGGGTGAGTCAGCTGTCTTGCTGAATACAACATTAAATATTATGGAATACATGATGGAGCTCTTCTCTGTTTTACATTTTCTTAATCAGTATTTCTAAGCTGATTTTATATTTTAAATGTACTCTTAAGCCTTCATAAAATAATCATTCCAGATTACTACATATTTAACTCACTGAAACAAAGACATTATTTTAAATTAATCAGTCACAGAGGTTTAGTGTGTTCATAACAATGTTCATTGCTTTTAAAAAAAGGGAACATTAATTTACTTTCTGTAATCTCCATAACAATAGATATGCTTATGAAATTTCACCAACTTTAAAAAATATGTTTCCAAAGATTTTAGGCATAACAAAGGATTTTATATCTTATTAAGGTACTGATTTTGCTGGAGGGTTCTCTTAAAACTAGTTCATCAGATAGTCAGAAGTAAAGAAAGGGAAACTTTGTCCAGCTATCTGGAAAGAAAGGAGTGTTGTCTCTTTAAGGACAGGTTTCAGAGGAACAGCCGTGTTAGTCTGTATTCGCAAAAAGAAAAGGAGTACTTGTGGCACCTTAGAGACTAACAAATTTATTTGAGCATGAGCTTTCGTGAGCCACAGCTCACTTCATCAGATGTGTACCGTGGAAACTGCAGCAGACTTATATACACACAGAGAATATGAAACAATACCTCCTCCCACCCCACTGTCCTGCTGGTAATAGCTTATCTAAAGTGATCAACAGGTGGGCCATTTCCAGCACAAATCCAGGTTTTCTCACCCTCCACCCCCCCACACAAATTCACTCTCCTGCTGGTGCTAGCCCATCCAAAGTGACAACTCTTTACATAATCAAGTCGGGCTATTTCCTGCATAGATCCAGGTTTTCTCACTTCCCCCCCCACCCCCATACACACACAAACTCACTCTCCTGCTGGTAATAGCTCATCTAAACTGACCACTCTCCAAGTTTAAATCCAAGTTAAACCAGAATATCGGGGGGGGGGGGTAGGAAAAACAAGAGGAAACAGGCTACCTTGCATAATGACTTAGCCACTCCCAGTCTCTATTTAAGCCTAAATTAATAGTATCCAATTTGCAAATGAATTCCAATTCAGCAGTTTCTCGCTGGAGTCTGGATTTGAAGTTTTTTTGTTTTAAGATAGCGACCTTCATGTCTGTGATTGCGTGACCAGAGAGATTGAAGTGTTCTCCGACTGGTTTATGAATGTTATAATTCTTGACATCTGATTTGTGTCCATTTATTCTTTTACGTAGAGACTGTCCAGTTTGACCAATGTACATGGCAGAGGGGCATTGCTGGCACATGATGGCATATATCACATTGGTGGATGTGCAGGTGAACGAGCCTCTGATAGTGTGGCTGATGTTATTAGGCCCTATCAGAGGCTCGTTCACCTGCACATCCACCAATGTGATATATGCCATCATGTGCCAGCAATGCCCCTCTGCCATGTACATTGGTCAAACTGGACAGTCTCTACGTAAAAGAATAAATGGACACAAATCAGATGTCAAGAATTATAACATTCATAAACCAGTCGGAGAACACTTCAATCTCTCTGGTCACGCAATCACAGACATGAAGGTCGC